GAAAAGCTTAAACAAAATCTGATCTGTATTTTATGTCAGAATAAAATGTGAAATTATCTTCAGCTTGTATTCACCGCACAGACCTTATCTGAGGCATTTAACCAAAAACAAATAAAAATAACCCTATTGACGTGCTAATGCTAACTGGTTTCCACTGTTAGCGTTTCTGGCCTACTAAAAGCAGAGAGATTTTGGCCAATTGAATTTTAGTGTGGGTGGGGCTACCCAATGTGGCTCCATAGGGGGAAAAAAAAAAAAAACTCTTGATGTCTGCGGTGAATGTTTTGGGCAAAAACGTTTTCACGTGTCAAGCAGCTGGTCAGATAGTGTTTAAGTTACTTAGTTTTGTTATTTAGTGACAATCAGTACATTAATTCCTGGGATACTTGGACAAATATCAAATATTTTAAAGTTCCCTTGTGGTGAAAATCAAGGTTTTAATGTTGTTAATAGTGGTATTTTTAATGTGCTTTAAGACAAACCATGTGTAAATTCATAAGTCGACAGTATTGCTGAGTATTTTCTGAACCAAAGACAGTTTTAAAAAACACGGTTTGAAATCGCTGGTGTTTCTGACGTCACAAACCTTGTAACCAATCAGATCAACGTGTGAACGCCGACGAGTGGATCTCTGAGTTGAATGAGTGATTGGAGGCGGGGCTCATTTGCATATTCATAGAACTGCATATACTAACTGAGGCAAGGGTGTAGAGTTACATTCAAGGTATATTAAGGCAGATGATGGTTTTTTTTAGGGCTGTCAAATGATTAATCGCGATTAATCTTATCCAAAATAAAAGTTTTGTTTACATAATATATGTGGGTGCACTGTGTATAATTATTTTATATATATATATATATATATATATATAATAAACACACATGCTTGTATATATTTAAGAATATTTTTCATGTATATACTGTATATAGATTTATATATAATTTATATTATATACAAATATAAATACTTTATATTAAAATACTTTTTTCCTTAAATATACATGCATGTATGTGTATATAGTATATATATATACAAAATAATTATACACAGTGCACCCACATATATTATGTAAACAAACTTTTATTTTGGATGCGTTTAATCGCGATTAATCGTTTGACAGCCCTAGTTTTTTTTCAAGAAAAAGTTTAAATATGTAATTTTGAGTTTAAAGGGATACAATTATTGACTACAAGAGAATATTTCTTGTCTATCCCTCACTGTAAAAAATTTGGAGTAGGATTTACTTGAAAAAAACCTTGCTAAACGATCTCACTCAGAAAATGCTAGTAAATTTACAAAGATTTGCCAAGTAAAAACCTAAACATATTTATCTGTCGCTTTAATTAGAAATCTTTAAGTTAAATTTACTTGGAATGTGGAATTAAGTAAACTTTACAAAAAATAAGTAAATTTAACTCGGCTTGTAAAAGGTTGATTAATACCGATTTCCTTTGCCTTTGTATTACACTTCACTAAAACAATTATCTTGAATTTTATTAGTCATTTATAGTATGTTCTTTACTTAGATTATCTAAGTAATTTATATATACATCATGTGAATGCAAACACCTCAATATTTGGTAGACAATACACAATGGTGGTAACATTTGATGGATCGTTTTTGTGTTTGAATGTGTCGTTTTAAGCAAAAAATTTACTCGAAATGTCACAAAATGGCAATTTACTAATACTGAAAACAAAAATCAATGATAAAACAGTGTAAATACAGCTGGAAACCAGTGAAAAATGAACCTCATTAATTATTCAAGGTCCAGTGCATGATGGGAACCCCAGTATCAGAAAAGTTGAGTAATTTTTACTTAGTTTTTTAAATTCTTGCCTGAACTAACTTTTTCAAGTAAATTACATTGGGTTTTTTCACTAGTATTTACTTAACCAAAAAATCATTTTTTACAGTGCTCCGGAGTCTCCTTCTAGTGTAATAAAACAGTTCATCAATCAATATTTCATGTCTATTTATTGCAGATTAGTGATACAACCTCCTGATTATTCTGTCTAGGTTTAGAAAAATCTGGTTTGTTTGTGGCGACTTTCCACAGACATAATGATTTTTATACAAACTATATATTCTCATTCTATGCCAATATGCTTGTTTCCTCATGGGGAACTTAATTTAGTCCCATTATGAGTGGGTGTGCAAGTCCCCACCGGGATAGAAAAACATGCACACACACACACACACACACACCCCCTCTGTGGTCTCTCATACCTAGTTTCTCATTGTTCTGCATTGTTGGTCTAAATGATAATGGTGGATGAGCTCCATTATGGAGAGAAAACAGCAGCAGATCTTAACGAGACCTCTGTCTAAGGGCACAGATGACATATTCAGATCCTTTCTCTCCTCCCTGCTCTCTGACCCATCCGTTTGCTGGAACATGGGTAATAAGATTGATCCGGCTCACCTAAAACAGGGAAGAAGGGTTCAAGCAGGTGTCATCCAAACAGAGAAAAGCTCACCCCTGCTGATTCAATTCCTACCAGTGTCTTAAGATAAGACACACTCACTCACACACAATTTGCACAAGCCACCACAGTATTCTGACACCAGGAGAAATAATGAGGATAATATTGCATTATATGGTGATGCAAATATACACAACATAATCCTAATAGGCTTATTGACCTTATAGGGCGGAGATTTCAGAGCATAGGCTATGACCTTAAAGGGAAGACACACATTTATGAATCGCATTCAAATGAGGAAAAAGTGGGCGGGAATAGCTTGCGTTCTGACCAATTAAATGCCTCGTTCTCAAACAGCGTGGGCGGAACATACGCCTTGTGAGGTTCCCGTGGGCGTGATCTGACGCAATGTGGGCGTGGCTTTAGCCGGAAGTGTGTGTGGACTGTGTCTCCTTGTCATTTGGCTTCAGTAGATTGGAGAGGAAAAGGACAGCAGCGGCAGCACAGCGAAGGGAATAGAAGTGCGCTGGTGGAAAAAAAATTAAATAAAAAATAATACAGAGAAACAAAAATCCAACAATGAAAAGGACGCATGAACGCTTTGTAGTTCACCAGTAACTAAACTAGTCTTTGTATATTGAAGTCAATGACGTAGAATCGTCTACGCAAGTGATTTAAAGGTTAGCAGCTGGCTAAAGCAAGACAGGGCTGTGTCATTGAGAAGGCAGGACACGTCAAGACGAGGAAGGGAGAAAACAAATAGACACTCTTGACGGATTAAAGATCCCCGCTTCATTATATCAGATCACCGGTTTATTCGAGGTTCTGCTTTAGTTTGCGTTGTGATATCTGGAACGAGCCCTCAGTCATCGCTCGGATCAGCCACGAAGGTGAAAATTTAATTCATTTATTGTCTTTGTATTTATAAATGATCAATCCCTAATGTTACATGTGTGTTGTGGTTTTATATGTGTTAAATCGTGCAGTATTGTGTGTATTATAGCTCGCGAGCAGAAGACGTCATAATTTTTCTGATCGAGCTTACGTTCGTTAAAAAGGGAAGAATCTTTTTTCCTTCAATGATATTTGAATTGTAATAACATATGAGGTGATTTGTCGTGTAAGCTACCTAGCTGTGTGATTTTTTTCGTCAGAAAAACACGGTCGAGTCGGCCTTTCGGTTGATATGGAGCCTTTTAGCAGTTCCTGTTGAATAAGCCGGTAGCCTGTTAGCTGTTAGCTGAAGAGACGTCACGAATCTATAATTAGAGCCCGAGAGACCTTTATAGCTTGTGTTATAGCCAGTATGGCATTATACATAGTCGGGGAATTAATGATATGACATGTTCATCAAATATATCTTTCCTGTCAGTATTTGTGACGTCTGGTGGCAGAGTGCCACATAGTCTCTCACCAATGGGTGTCCTCAGTGTTTCCACACACTTATAAATGAAGAACCTTTAACATCCATTGAACGTTTCCATTCTTCAAAATGTTCTTTATGGTGGATAAAGGTTATATATAGATTATATAGAGTGTTTTTCACACTAAGATAACTGTTCTCTGAAAGGTTCATTTGGGAACCTAATGTGGTTCTTCAATGTGAAAACCCCCTTTGGAGCTTTTGGGTGTGTTCACACTTGGCATTTTGGTTAGATTAAAACGAATCCTGATACAATAGTGCGATTCATTTGAATAAGCGTGAACGCTGCCAACCGAACTCTGATGCGCACCAAACAAGTGGAGCGAAACTCCTGAAAAGCTGGGTCTCCCAAACAAACTCTGGTGCTGTTCGAATGATATATGAATGCAACATGGACCAAAGACATGTAAACGAACCAATAAGGGATGTGACGTCACAAGATGCGACCCTAAACAGTTGTGTTCTCGTCACAGTCATGATGTTGCCCATCACAGTTCAGAACTGCATCTCCTCGCAGCAAATGTTCCTGATTCCTGCCACTTACAGATTTTGTAAGCTGTTCACGAGATCTCAGCTGGTTAAAATGCCATCATATGTAGGCTACCCACATTCACCGGGCGCAAAAATGTTTTGTATGTCTCGAAATATAGGCTATGTCATAAAAGCCGACCAATCAGGTTGTGAACGTATCCCTATGGCTTTAGTTTCGGTATCCTTGGTTTCGGTGTTAAAAAAGTGTTGTTTTTTTGTTTTTTTTTGGCCCGAACCAAACGTATTGAGCTATAAATGTGAACACACCCTTTATTAGTGTAGTGTGTCATGAATTATGTTGTGCAACTGCATCATGGAGTATTTTAACCGTGGTTATGCGTTTTTTTTTAGGGCATAGGAAGCAAGAATAAGTGTGTTGGAGCCAGGTTGAACTGGAGAACATAAATGGGGGATTACGGGTTTGGAGTCTTAGTGCAGAACAACACTGGCAACAAGTCTGCTTTCCCAGTACGAATCCACCCTCACCTGCAACCCCCACACCACCACCAAAATGCGACCACCAGCCCCGCCGCTTTCATAAACAGCACCCCGGCTGGGAATGGCACCAACACCGGTTCGACATGGCTATTCCCGGCAGCCGGCGCTCACAGCAGCATGCAAGATGAAATCCTGGGCTCGGAAAAGCCCAAAGTCCAGCAGCAGGAGCTGCAAGAGTCCCAAGAGAAGCAACAGCAGCTCTCGCCCGGACACCAGGAGAGTGGGATCATCTCCGAGCTGGAAAAGGCTCGCGCTGAAGAGATTAAAGCGGAGAGCGGGTCATCCGACGGGACCAACGGCAAGGAGAAGCTTCGTTTGGACTCCCCCGTGTTGACGCCCTTTGACTATCAGGAGCCCTCGGGACTGGGAACGGCGGCCCAATCCAGCACCTCCTCCTCCCTGACCAGTTTCAACAACTGGTCAGCTGCTATCCCCCCCACTCCTTCCACCATCATCAACGAGGACATCAGCTTCTTCAACCCGGCGGCCTCCGCCAACAACGGCCCCCTGCTGTTCCAGAATTTCTCCCACCATGTCAGCCCGGGCTTCGGAGGCAACTTCTCCCCTCAAATCGGTCCAATCTCCCAGCACCACCCCCCCCACCCCCACTTCCAGCACCCCCACAGCCAGCACCAGCAGCATCGGCGTTCCCCGGCAAGTCCTCACCAGCCCCCGTTCCCGCACCGCAACGCCCCCTTCGGCCAGCTGCCGCATCTCTCCAACAGCCTGAGCAAGCCTCCCTCCCCGTGGGGCAGCTACCAGAGCCCCTCGCCCTCTCCCTCCTCCACCTCCTGGAGCCCGGGTGGGGGTTACGGCGGGTGGGGGGGGTCCCAGGGTCGCGAGTATCGCAGAGGCCTCAACGGAGGCATGACGCCTCTCAACTCCATCTCTCCGCTGAAGAAGACCTTCCCCAACAACCACATGCCCCAGCAGAAGTACTCCCGCACCAGTCCCGGATTCAACCCCAAGTCCTGGATGGATGACAGCAGGAGCGAGAATATCTTCCCTTTCCAGGTGTGTGTAATATTGACATGATGATGATGATGATGATGGTATGAAAAAAACCCCGATTTATTGGCCTGGCTGTAATGTTTTAAACTGGGTATTCATAGCTGGCAAGATGGGCTTTAAAAAAAAAAAAAGGTGCTACACGACTAGAGAAAAATGGAAGTGCTGTGGGCGTTCCCTTTTGCTAAAAAGTTATTTTTATTTAAAGTAACACAAAGCTTGGACAGAAAATAGCCCTATATTAAAATAATATTAAATACAATAGTCAACCTTTGAAGTGGATCAAAAAAGGTCATCAAAGTTGTCCTAAGACAAGAATCATGTATAACTTTGATTTTGATCCACTTCAAATGTTGACTACTGTGTAACAATATATTATTTTTTTCACTCAGTTCTATGCAATAGACTCAAATTGAAGAGATTTATTTTTTTACTAGTTTGATTTTTTTTACTAGCGATCATTTTCGGTGCATCCCTACCAAAAAGGTTGGGAAACTCCAACATGATGAACTGTTCTCTCTGTGAGCTGGATGCAAGAATGTGCAACCTGTAGTTCTCATGAAAGCTAGCTTTTCTGACAAATCTGGTTCAGGTAACATAAAGAAAGGTAAAATACTGCTGACATCGCAACGATACAAAGCTGGTTGTACATCGGCGAAGCTGCGGTCACATGAGCCAAATTTTACAGGCGAAAATAGGACATTTATCTATAGCGTCACGTCACTTTCACGTCAGTTTGTGGGTCAAAGCGGTGAATTTGCCTGACCAGCATGAACATGAGCGAAATCGTTTGCACTCACGCAAAACTCATCGATTCTGACTGTATTTTGCCTGTGAAATTTTGTCAAGCAACTTTAAATGTGACCTCACCTTTACAAGAACAGTGAAATCCACACCACAACTATACCGAAACGACAAACCTGAACGATATCAGAGGGGTTTTTCCAGCTGATGAACAATAAAAACATTGACAGCCAATCAGAATCCACATGCGAATAAAGAGCTCGGACATTTAAAGTGGCAGACCGCACACATTTCAATTAAACAGTGTAATATAGTCATCGTTCTTGGTGTGAACAGTGGCAAAACACTTAGAATTACAAATATAATGTATTTTACTTAATATCCAACATTACTCTCTGCATGAATGGTGTTGTATGTCCCTGCACTCCCATTTGTAGTCGTTGCAATGTGTCAACTCTCTCGCATCGCCTACAGTCTCGGTTGCTCTCTGAAATCGGCGGTTTACGTTGAAAATGAATGATGCCTGGTTGCTTCAAAGCAGCAGTGTCTGTCGGTGTGAACCCCACAAACACACGGATCGTTTTGTGCATTTGCACAGCTCTAATTTGCCTGTTTCTGCTCTCTCATGGCACATTGTGACAAATTCTGCTTGAGTTGGGCCCAAAGCAAAATGTGCCAGAGGCTTGGATGACTAACTTTGCTCTGCCTGTCTTGTTTTCCAAACGGCTCTGTGAGATTTTAGTTGCTGACAACAGCTCAAAAATCAAGCGTTGCCTGCCATGACACTGTCGGGGATGGTTCGAAACGAATAATAGTAATGTAGACATTGTCTTTTTGACCCATTTGATTACATTTGCATAAGCCATTACGTTAATCATAGCACTGCAGATTTTAAAATGTCGGCCGACCTGTTTTATTCCTGGTAGTATATTTTTGGCCCTCTGTCATTCTTAACTGGAGCTAGAAAGATGGATGCTACCTTAACAGATCTTAAAGGAGTAGTTCACTTTTAAAAAAACTTTTGCTGATAATTTACTCACCCCCATGTCATCCAAGATGTCCACGTCTCTCTTTCTTTAGTCGAAAAGAAATTAAGGTTTTTGATGAAAACATTCCAGGATTTTTCTCCATATAATGGACTTCAATGGGAACCAAACAGTTCAAGGTTCAAATGAGTGTTTCAGTGCAGCCTCAAAGGCCTTTAAATGACACCACAATGAAGGTTTGTGTTTGTGTGCATGACACTGTGTGGACCTTCCATATATTAATGTATACCTCAGCTTGTGGAAAGGCTATACTTGTGATTCTCTAATTCATCATGTGTCTGTTTCACCGTCTGTGTTATTACAGAGCGGTTATTAATTTATTATACAGGCCTAAAACAGAATAGTGTAATGATGTTACTATATCAGTGAATGAGAACATTTGTTTTTTTTACCGTGAACAAAACAGAGTTAAAACCTAAAATTTTGTTGCTCAGAATGTGGTGAAAATGATTGAAGATATCTGAATTTTGTTCAATTTGAGCATGCCGGTTAAATTTTCATGTGACGTCGTTTAGGTAGTGCACATCAAGTCCTCCTGGGAAGTTCTTATTTATGAGAAGGGGAAGTCGTAATTACGACATTGTGCATTTAAATCACTTTGGACAATAAATGAAGCAAGTTTTTTAACTCTACTTTCTAACAAAATGATTACTAAAGAATGCACATCAAGTGCGTTTTTATTTAATTTATGGATCCACTTACTTTGTGGTGGCATTCGTGTGCATTCAACTCATAAATTCGATCTTTCTCTACATGACTTGAGTGCATCATTGGCTCTTCAGTTTCATTTCATACATGTAATGACATTGTGTCATTATATTTAAATGTAATGTCATAGTAAGCAGTAGCTATGTTTCCATCAAACCTATTGTTTATGTGTTTTTTTTGGGATATTGTATAAAAAACTGGATGGAAACGCCAAGATGCGCTTCCAGGCAGAGCAAAGATGCGCAATTCAAAAAATGTGCATAAACACTCACTGAACACTGTTGGGTTGTTTCAACCCACGTTTGGGTCACATATGGACATAATCAAATGTTAATTTATTTTATTTTTATTTTTAAATCCAACAGTTGGCCATTTTTATTTTTAAATGCAATGGTTGTTTTATTATTATTTTTTATTTTTAAACCCAACAATTGGTTCAATTTGTAATATTAAACCCAAAGGTTGGTTTAATTTAAAAAAAAAAAAAAAAAAAATATATATATATATAATTCAACAGTTGGTTTATTTTTTTTAAACCCAACTGTTGGTTTAATTCTTTTATTTATTTATTTTTAAATTTAACAGTTTTTTTTTAAACCCAGCTTTTGGTTTATTTTTTTTAATTCAATGGTTGGTTTATTTTAATTTTATTTTTAAAACCAAGTGTTGGTTTAATTTTTTTTTATTTTTTTATTTTTATTCAACGGTTGTTGTTTTTTTAAATTGTATTTTTTTTTTTTAACCCAGCTGTTGGTTTCATTTTTTTTTTTAATTCAACGGTTGGTTTATTTTAATTTTATTTTTTTTAAACCCAACTGTTGGTTTTATTTTTTATTTATTTATTTTTTTAATTCAACAGTTGGTTTATTTTAATTTTATTTTTTTAAACCCAACTGTTGGTTTAATTCTTTTAATTTTTTTTAATTTAACAGTTTGTTTATTTTAATTGTATTTATTTTTTTATTTGATTTTTTTTAAGCTGTTGGTTTAATTTTTTTAAATTCAGTGGTTGGTTTATTTTAATTCTATTTTATTTTTAATCCGAACTGTTGGTTTATTTATTTATTTTTTTAATTCAACGGTTGGTTTATTTTAATTTAAATTTTTTTTAAACCTAACTGTTGGTTTAATTTTTTATGTATTTATTTTTTTAATTCAACGACTTGTTTATTGTAATTTTATTTTTTTAAAACCTAACTGTTGGTTTAATTTTTTTTTTTTTTTCATTCAACGGTTGGTTTTATTTTAATGGTTGGTTTATTTTAATTTTATTTTTTTAAACCCAACTGTTGGTTTCATTTTTTTTTTTTAATTCAACGGTTGGTTTATTTTACTTTTATTTTTCAAAAATTAAACTGTTGGTTTCATTTTTTACTTTTTTTTTTAAATTCAACAGTTGGTTTATTTTAATTTTATTTTTTAAAACCCGACTGTTGGTTTTAAAGTCCCCGTGAAATCAAAATTGAACCTATTTACTTTGTTAGTGCATATTACTAGTCTTGTGGTGAACAATTAATCCGTGCAAGTGAATATATATTAAAAAAATGTTTTACCTTCAAAATCTGAAAAGTTACTTCCGGTCTGGAACGGTTTCTTTTTCTGATGACGTAGGTTTCACAGTTTGGGTGGGGAAACGCTTAACCACTCCCCTCAAACCGTTAGTTTGCTATGAGCGAGAGATGGAGAGGAGGAGCGCTAGAGTAAAACCCTGCCCTCTGTTCAATATTCCGTTTCACTTGGAAATACGTCACAGCACTGGAGAAAAATCGTTTGCAACTTCCGGTTCATGGGGACTTTAATTTTTCACAATTTAAAAACCCAACAATTGGTTTAATTTTTTACATTTTTAAACCCAATGGTTAGGTTTGTCCATATGTGACCAAAACATACGTTCAATTGTGTCTGATACATTTTTTTAATCCAATAAGAAAGCATGCTCATAAACTATGATGGAAACACATGCCGGAACTGTCTTACATGACGGCGTGCCCAAACAGCTGGCATTCGAATGCAAGATAACATGATTGTGTTTCATGGAAGTAATTTATTATTCGAAAATGATATATACAATGCCTTCTCCTACTGGTGCAACTTCCATTGTTCTTATTGAAATGCACCAAATTATCAGGAAGTGACACTGGATGGTGCTTTATTCGCAAATGTTTTATGCGATATTCACTTTTTGCGCATGAGTTAAATTCACAAATTCGGACTCTCATTTCTATGGGCCATCAATTTTCAATTTTCGTTGATTACCGGGAACAGGTGCCTTCCAGATCCTCTTATCGAGGTGTTTGTGCACAGAGCTCATCCTCTGGTACAGAACCTTGGGTCAGGCTGCAGTTTGGTGATCTAGATGTGTTCTGTTCTTTGTAAAACCAACAAACTAAAGGTATTCGATAGCACTTGGAACCTGTGGCTTCCACCGCTGAGAACAGGCAGCTCTTATTCGCAGCTATTTGCTCCAGCTGGTTGAATACGTGATGTGATTCCCAGCACTGCATAATG